TGTTGGTGTATCATGAAGCACTGTGCCATCAAGCACCAACATGTTGGCGTGTGTTTATAATGTCACCCCAAGTGGCCAGAAAAGCTCTCCTACAACTAACTCAAGTGGCCCATGGGTCATTGGTTGATAACTTACCGTTGTAGCAGGTTTTGTGCTCTGAACACAGTCTAGTTGGTAAGTAAAGGGCAGACGTCTGCTTGAACGGTTGCAGACCCGTCAGTGTCCCACCTCTAACCTAACCCATGGTCTGACGGTGTCACCTTAGTCTTGTGTTTACAGTTCTCACCCAGCGTGAAAACTTTATTCTCCATGCATCGTTTCCTGTTTTTGGTTCATTTTCATGACCACGTTACAGCGTCACATGCAGGCCTGGCAGAGTTACTACAGCTGTTCGGGTGGTTTTCATTGTTTCCATGTGGACAGACGTCTCAAGAAATTATGTCATGTTTATGAAGATTGTAAGTGCCCTTCAGCTGCCTCCTCCTGCAGGGGTTTACAGGGAGTGAGCTCAAATTCAAGATTCAGCAATTGTTTAACTCAAGCCAAGCTTAAACCAGCAACCTCAGGGTTTCAAGACCGTGGCGCTTAACCACCGAGCCACCGTAACCATCCGTTGTGTTTGAGGATATTTTTAGAAATGACAAATGCAAAGACAGTTTTGAAAAACTGTGTTTCCATGTGGACGACTTAAGTCCTGTTCATCGTCCTTTCTGCGTCCTCACACAGATCAGTGCAACACAGGTGAAACCTCACCGATGCAGGTGTACCGCCCGTCGATGTACGTCAGCTTGAAGCCCAGGTGACATTTACAGATGAAGCTGCCGAACGTGTTGATGCACTTCCTGCGATGGGAGCACACGTCTCTACCCAACAAACACTCGTTGATGTCTGCAGAGACAAAACGGAGACAGATCAACCACAAACCAACACTGTGTAATAAAAAAAACACGTGCACATGGACTGACCGACACAGGAGCGTCTGTCTGGACCCAGACGTAACCCTGGAGACGGACAGGTACATCGTACCTCGCCCTTCATCACCTCACAGCCGTACTGACAGTTGGCATGGTAACAGGTCCTCACATCTGGAGATTTAGAGGAAGAGAAGACAAACCAGTTCAACAACATGAAAACCACTAAAGATGAGAAATTATGCTGAAAATCTGCTGAAGATTCAAATGACGCCCTGAAATCTTGATGGTCCAAAACAGACCGAGAGCGGACATAAAACAAAACCACGTGTTGAGAGCTAAGGCCTACAGACACCACTGGTCCCAGGTCACTGCTGGTTCCAGGTCAGTAGGGTTTGCCCCTCCTAGGGTCTGTATTTGGTCCAAAACAGTATTGTGGCTGTTGTATCCTCTCCAGCAGAATCAGCTCAAGTGGGAACTGGACCTTGGAACCTGGCACTGGGTCAAAGAAAGGAACGGGAGACCATGTTGACCCAAGGAGGACTTCAAGACATTGCAGATAGTGTTGTATGTGGACTGGTGTTGTTTAAGACAGTACTGATGTTCTGTCTCAGGAGGGGTAAGACATGCAAACAAAGGATGAGTTCGTGCTGTGCTGCCAGACGACGGTCTTCCCTGGTCACACATAACAACGATTTCTCACTGAACATGAATCAACACCAGTAACCATCGGTGCCTCACAGGTCCAGCACTGTTCCAAACACCTGTCTCTGTTCTTGTTGTAACAGCAGCCTCACATCGAACGGTGAACCTGAAGTCCGACTGAGTCCACTTTGACGCAAGGTCTTAAGAGTCCAGGTCTTGCGTACAATGGCAGGTACAGATGTGATCAATTTAGACCAAACCGCTCAAAAGAATCTCTGATGGTTATAAAGACAGTTAATCCCATCATAGACAAGCTTTTGAAGGAGCGCTAAGGAGTTCTTGGAGCTAAGACTCATCCAGCAGATCAAGACAACCTCATTGCAGACAAGAAGTTAAATAGTTTAAAAAACAAGAGAAATCCATCTGATGACTGATAACAGAGTCCAACATGAATCATCAGACACACCATGTGCTGTGAAAGAGGGTCTGAAACAGTTTTACCTTGCTCAACCAATCAACAAACATCTGTCTGTAGATGATAGCACGTCCTTACATTCCTTCAGGGTCCATATTGAGCCACGATCAGCAGATGCCACAGTACCAGCAGCGTGAGAAAAAAAACCAGTAAACTTATGGGAATAGCTACAAGGATCGTAAAGTAGTCCTCTTTCTTTCCTCTGTGAGGTCTGGCTTGAGCAACCAGAACCTCCCAACCTGTGTGGGCCATTGGTTCCATCAGATCACAGTGACATCTGTACACCTCACACGTCAAGTGGCACCACGACACAAGCCCACAACCTGACCCCTGGGACTCTGTTTCCCTGTGTCAGTGTGTGGACAGAACCAGGCAGGACTCTGGAGGGGGGTTGGTGGGATAGAACCAGGCAGGACTCTGGAGGGGGTTGGTGGGACAGAACCAGGCA